ACACACACACACACACACACACACACACACACACACACACACACACACACACACAATCATAGCTTGTAAGCTTGTAAAGTTGCAACCACAATCGAGCTCGAGCCTTGGACCTGTTTACGTGTGCGTGTGAATTAATGAAGTTAAAAATAACCTCTGCAGCTCCAGCAACACATACTGAGGTATCAGTAGCGGCAACAGCCTAAACACAAAGTTTCTGTAAGTCTTTAAATTAAGAAAGGAAAGTATTTTTATAGCACAATTTTTTTTAAATAAACAGGAACAAAAACAACAAAATAATATATTATGTTAATTATAAATACTGTAATAATGATAAAATTATATTTAAAAATGTAATTCCAGTATTACAATACGACCTTGACCTCACCACCATACCTCACTGCGCTCACCGCTGTGCTGGAGAAAACCAAGCAGTCGCTGTTAAAGGGGGTAAAAATCCAAGAGGGTGCTGGCAGGAGCTGTAAGGGGATGGTAAGGGGGAGGGAGGGTGGGAAGGTGAGATGGTGAAGAGAGAGCAGGAGGAGGAGGAGGAAGAGGAGGAGGGGAAGAGATAAGTGATCTAAAGGGGAGACGATAGGACAAAAAAAAAAGTGATGATGATGAATACATTGGAAAGTTTTTTGGCCCCGGCGAGGGTGTCAGATTGAATGGCCTGTGCGCATGTGCGAAGGTATCACAACTGACAATGCTGGTGAGATGAAGATAGTGTTGTTGCTGCTTCTGGGCTCACGGAGGACGACGAGAGGAATCTACAAGCCGACAAGATGAGATCCAAGGCGAGGGCGAGAAAACTGGCCAAAAGTAGGTCTTATTTTTTCCCCCATTCTTATCGCGTTAACCCACCGGCTCCAAACTCCCGGCTCCGTAGATGTCCACTGTGTCCTTGTCATTTGCCATATCCTTAAGAGAGGATATGACTACTCTTTGTTCAAAAATAACTTTTCCGCTGTAAATATGTCCCGTTTCGGCCGCTCAGTCTCGTTTCCCTGCGTGTTGCGGTCTTGGCTTCGCTGGTTCCAGTGTCAACAAAAAAGAAAAAGAAAAGTTTTCATGTGTGATGAGAAACGCCGCTGGTGCTTTAGCTGATTACACTCCGATAAAAGGCATAGATAAACACTGTCTCCCAGAATCGAGCCTCATCTTTTGCTCTTTATCGGTTGTCGCGGGCTTCCGCGAAGGCGCAGATTCCTCTCCTGAAGCTACCGAGAAAGTTGTCGAAATGGATAGTAACTTTTTTTTCATAGAGCCGTTTCAAGTCTTGTGAAATAATATTCCCTGCTTTTAAAATAGTGGGCGCTGTGGCACTGCTCTGCTGCTCGCTGCAGAGCTCACGGCGAGCCTGGGCGCACTCTTTCATTTGCCTGCAAACTGAGACGCAGAGATGCGATTTTAGAAAGGAAAGAGCAATATTTTAATGAGGACTTTTCTTCTTCTTTAATTCGATCCTGCTCAAATCTCAGCAGATATTGCTCTCCCGCTAATTTGTTTCGTCCCAAAACCCAAGGCCACTGGACTGCAGCAGCAGGCTGTTTCCTCCTCGAGGGAATGCCAATCAATAATGTGTCTTGAGAGCGCCCATACGACGACTTTTGTGGGCTGCTGGACGCGTCACACGGAAAATTCATGTATTCGGTTCTTTTTTTTTTTAGTGTGAGTGTGAACATGAGCACTTTGTTGTTGGAAATGGACCATGTTTATCGTTTGACATTTGTTTGTTGTTGGTGGGTTGATTTATGAATTGCATTTACTTAAACCGCCGATTTTATTCTTGCATGAATGCACTTTGGCTTCCACAGCCCTGCGTGGATCACTCGGCTTTATTTATCCACAATTCATTTGAAAGACAAATGCTTCACAACATCGCGATTTCTATTGCGGGCCTGTTGTCATTATATTTTGTTTCTGCCTTAGTGTTTGTTTTCTTCCAAACCATAGTGACTTGAGCTGTGGTTTTGTGAAAGCTTGCATTCTAGCTTGTATGTTGTTTTATTATAATGGGGGGGGGGGGGGGTATTCTTTATTTTAGGAATATGCTGTCGTATGTTGGACCTGCTCTATTTGCGTGTTTCCAGGCCCTTTCAGAAAACTTTGTAACTTTGCCTCCCTCCCTTTTAATTCAGCGTGAACCTCGACCTCGCATTAGACGCAATTAAGGCTATTCAACAAAGTCATTTCAGACCAAATACTCCGTGCCAAGCTTTTGAAACAGACATGAAATGTTTATGTATTTATTTATTTATTTATTTATTTTAAATAAAGAGCTTTACTTGACACGTCCCAAATAAATCTGTTCTATTTTAGCGCTGTTTAATTTATTTTCAGGGAGGGGGTTTCAGCGCTCTTTCTTTCAAAGGAAAAACAACGAGAATAAAACACTAACATTTCCCCCCTCTCCACTTTTCAGTCGTGTTCTTGTTGTTATCGTGTCACTTTCACACGTTTGCCATACACGAGAGGACAAAGTTCCCGTACAAGTTTACAACAAAGCAAGAAATACACATACATAATGTTTTTTATTTTTTTTCCAAAGAAAATGGGTTAAAGGAAAAAACGTAAACTAGGCTGCTTTGTGAAAATACTTAAACGTGTGGAGGACCAGCCTATTGCCAGTAATTGCACTTGGTCTTGATCTCTAAACAGCCTTGATAGTCTGTTGATCCGGGTGCTAATGAACACAAATACCTGGCTTTGTTGCACTCAGATCGGAGCACTGGGAGCCTCTGCAGCTCACAGGCCTCCAATCTGTTGTGTTGCAGTGGTTGGAAAAACAGAGCAGACAGAAGGCATGAAAAATATCATGTTCTTCCTTAACATTCAAATCGTGCAGGCCCACAACTTTTGAATGCGACGCGGGGGGAGTGCGTTCCCCCCTTTTTTGACGCTCGGGTAAAACATTCTCTTTTGTAGCTGAGTACAGTAGGCTGTAGGCCCACGGCTATTATGCAGCAGCTGCTTTATCGTTTTATTATTGTTATTAATATTTTTTATATTATTATGTTATTGTTCTCGCGGATACCGGCTGCACATTAAAGGCCACGATATTAGAAACTTTTCACCTAACACGACTATGTGAGCGCTTTAATGCAAAGTGGCATTGATCTCTAACTATGCACCAACTAGCTATGCATTAGTTCTGGTGTGTTGACACAATACTTTTGCGTCAACATTAAAGTGTTAATGAGTGTTTTTTTGTTTTTGTTTTTTTTTAAGGAAAAAATGGTTTTACTTTCTGTTCCTCTGATTTTTTTTTTTTTATTATTTTGCTGAAAATGTGCAACTTTTAATTTGAGATCAACGTCTATTGTATTTATTAATTTTTTTATTAAAAATATTAAACAGTCTATTCTAAGCTTTGTTTTTCATTTAATTTAATTGAACTTTTTTCTTAACCAGTGAATGACTCCATGGAGACGCTCGAGCCTTAACGCCACATCTCATTTTATCGAACGGAACGGATTTGATATGCGACTTGGCCTCTTGTTATCTTAAAAAACTAAAAAAAAAAAAATCAATACAGCCAATCTAGCTGAGAATAAAGACGCAAAGTGACAATATAATTACTTTTGGCGTTACTCACGATGAAGTTATGCTTGAGTATGTGTGTGTTTGTGTGTGTCCGTGCGCGCTACAGAAGGCTGATTGTGTTTGAAATGTTTAACACCTTGCGGCGGTTTTATTGTGGTATTCGTAGGGGTCCACATGTAGCGTTAAATTGTGTGTGGTTGTTTTTTTTTTGGATCAATTAAGACTTCCGGTTGAGTGGGCGTACATTTATTTTCAGGTATGTTTTTTTCAGTACACAGGTGAGAGCAATACATAAGCACGCACGCGCTGTTCTCTTCCTCTCCTGCGCTAAAAAAGGTAATTAAAAAAGAACCGTGTGCTTTATCACATATGGTGAAATGAAAGTCAGTGAATTCACGCAGATTATCGATTTTCAACATCGATTTTAATCTTCTGCATAATCAGAAATTTTTTTTTTGTACAGTCTTGCTTTTGTGATTTTGTGTTTGGAAAGATACGCACAATTTCAGAGAGCTTTCCTCTCTCACGGCCTGTCTTTGTCTCTTTCTATGATGTACTAATCGCAAGATATCCTATTGATCTTCGTGTTAAAGGCCTCTTATTAGATGGACTCCCAGTCATGAACTTGGCCTGGCTCAACAGCTTCTGATGTTTTGACAGAAGTAATAAAACCCAACCCATAACACTTTAAAACCAACAATGGTAGCTATGTTGAACTTCTGGCTAAACGTTCAGGGACCCAGTATGTTACTGCTATGCAGCGGTAATATGTGTCAGATAGCACTCCTTCATGTTCACAGATTAGAGCCTGGACATAAAAAAATGATAGGATCATCAAATGCAGAGGAAATCCACAGT